TCTAAGGAGAGCAGGGGAAAAGGCAAGAGAAGGGGAGGGAGGGGAAGGGAGCCGGGGACCGGGGCTGGGGAGGGGAAGGGGGGAGCGCGCGAGACAGGGCGAGTCTCCGAGTCACCACAGCAGGAGCAGCAACGGCCCAACACTTCCCTCCGCCACCTCCATAGAGAGCCGACTCGCTGCCGCGTCTAAAGCGCACCGAGGCAGCCCCACTAACTTTATTACCCTTCACGCAACCTACCCCACCTCCCTCCAGCAGCCGCCAATCGCCGCGAAGGGCTCCGCCCGTCTTGCCAATCACAACCGAGAAAGGGGGTGGCCTTAACGTCGAAGTGGGAGGAGGAGGGAGGAAGTTTGGTTGAACTGTGCCATCGCCGCAGTGCAGCATCCGTATTCGCGAAAGCCGTTACGCTACATGGTTGGCGGTAGGGTCTAGGAGGCAAGGGAAATTTACGCAAGTGGCGTATCAGATTAATGGTGGCAGCTTGGCTGCCTCTTACCTTCGGTGTTTGCTCCTGTGCTTCAGCCATCACAGAGCCACAGTTCTAGAGGCCTACAGTGTGAGTTAGAGCTGATTCTGTCACGTTCATAGAAGGATAGTTTAATATATATGTATTCTTAAAAGGTGTTTTGTTTTGTTTTTATTTAATAAATTTATTTAAGCCTAGGTTTCCCTTCAGTCAGACCATATTTCAAATTTGGTTGAGGTGAAAAATTAGCTGATTATAGACTGTGGTCCTGAGCTTGCAATCAGATCCGAAGGAGGAGACTTGCCATTTGAGCTCCAAGAGCCTGTCTGTACAGATCCAATTTCAGGTTTGCTTTCTGGGTTTGGAAACTATTTCTATCTCTGCATGTGTTTTTAGCTACTAAGTGGCCTGTCCGTGGCAGGGCATCCTGCAGGCAACCCATGGACAACCAGGATTCTTGAGAGACATTTTTATATATTTATCATGCTAAGCACACAGCTGGTGGGGTTTTCTTGCTCCTGCTCAGTTAAACAAAACAAATATGGCCAGGCTTTTAGCTGTAGGTGGAAATTTGAGTCATGGGAGACTTCCAGAGACTTACTAGTGTAAGGTTTTATCCTTTAACAGTCAGGTCTCAGTCCCAGATTGTCGCTGAGGTAGCAGCTACCTGGACTTGCCAAAGAATCAAACTTACTTGCCCTAGATGAGGTAGGACAGAAAACAAGAGCTAAGTAAACCTGACAACAAACTCCACAAACATCCACATCTGCTTTGTTCACACATACGCCTTCCGCTTTCGGTTTGCATGACTCATAATTCAGATGACTGGGAGAAAGTGATACATGTAATAACTCTTGAACTGTATAG